TATATATATATATATATATATATATATATATATATATATATATATATATATATATATATATATATATATATATATAACACTACAAATATGACTTCCCCGGAACGCAATCGTGAACAGCAGTTCAACTGAATGGAAAATGATCTATGTGAAGATTATTTACTTTCTGTGGAAAGCAGAAAAATATGACAGCATACAGGTTTGGAAATGACATGAGGGTGAGAAAATAATGACAGAAGTGTTATTTTTGAGTGAACTATTGCTTTCAATATATCCTAAACAGCAAGCATGTCATTTATTAATCAGCGTATTTTTCCAAGCGTAGCTGCACCCCAGATGGCATTTGAATAATTGTCATACGAACAGATGCATTGTTTTCTCTCATTATATTTGCCTTTATGACATTATTATTCCATTAAAAAAATTAGCATGAGCTGCAAATCATCGCTTGTAGGGCAAAGAGGTGGTTTGTCTGAAGTGTGCTGAGAAAGCCAAGGTGACATCTCTCTAAATCACTGATCATAAAAAAATATGAATCTTTATCCAGGTGAATCGCCAAAGACATCAATTTATAACTCTGAAAGTGTTGTTTTCTCAATCCCAGTGAAAAATGGAGCATGTCTAGATGTTGACATTGAGAATCTCTCTCTCGCTCTCTGTCCTCCCTTTCGCTTTCATATGCAGGCGCTTGCCGTCTGTGACCCATCTGGTTGTCACGGTAACCTCAGGGAATCTTGTAAGATAATTAGCTAGTTGCTGAATGTGCCTCGTAATGTGGCACGACAGTGTGACCCGGTGAAAATGAATGCGGTGAACCCGATTTGCCATGCTGCGAGGTGGAGTGTGTGCCCTTTGACCTTCGTAACATGGAAGTGTCAAAGGTCAATCCACTAGCCCGAGCCCTGCGACAAGACAATTGATGTCCCATCGCAATTTAATAATGAGGATCACGTCTGTAGCGCTCGCCCCGGCACTGGATTGATTGTCGTCCTTTCCAGGAATGACACATGCTGCCGTTCGAAGGTCTCCTCGTAGGACCCCAGTGCAACTGTTGTCCTTCCATCCGTTTTGACTCATCTCCTCCTGTTCATCAGTCTCCCTGTCTCTGACCATCACTGCCATCTCCAACAGCGCTATGCATTTAAATTGGAATTGAAACTTAGCCTCGGACATGAAGGAATTTAGATGCAAAGTGAGTCCTCTAGCCGCCTGTCAGTGATGATGCCAGTGCATATTGACTATATGGAGGGCAACAGGTTTCTTATTTACTTATTGCAAATGAATATTTACATTTCTGTGTCTTTTATTTATAAAATCTCGCAAAACCAACAAATTCACAGCACTGAACATCCCGTGTCATAAGTGGTTGTGATGCACCTTGCCTGTCCACACTGACTGCAGAACTGTTACACAGCATGATGTAAATAGATTCCTAAACAACGGACAGCGTTTTTTATATGTAAGAACTTTTATATGCCATGGTAGGGCACTATATATTGATTTCATACAAGGTGCTTGAAGTGCTTTTTCAAATAAAAAAAAATGGAAAATTTTTTCTTTTTTCAAATCAAGGGGTGCTTAAAGTACACCCCGCTGCAATCAAGTAATGGTACTGTTCTTATTTACACGCCGATGCAAATTTTCACTTGCTTTTAGACCTTGTTCATTTTGAGCCATTGTAAATGTTTACCTCTTAGCATTTGCTGTATAAGCTAAGTTAATATTTCATATAAGGGTTATTATAGTTAACTAAAACTAATACTAAAACTAAAACCATTAAATAAAACAACACTTTTGTTACTTGAAAGTGTGTGTGTATATATATATATAATTATAATTTCAGCTAGTTGTCATTTCTCATTTTCGTTAGTTTAGCTTGATGCAGTAAAATGACTAAAAATGTTATTAAAATAATAAAACAGTTTTAAAAAATAATTAAATAAATAAAAATGACAAAAACACAACATAGTAACTAAAACTTTAAATCAGAATGAAAATGGAAAATATAAATAAATTCAAATTATTAATAAAAACTAACAGTAATCTAATGACACACAAATAGCACTGGTTCATACCAGACAATTTATTTATTTAGTTAGTTTTTTTCTTTCTTTCTTTTTTAAGAAATTTAAAATGAAGACATTATTTTTTTATAGACATTTTAAAGGGGTCATATGACATTGCTAAAAAATAACATTATTTGGTGTATTGAAATGTTTATGCGGTTTAAGGATCAAAAAACACATTGTTTTCCACATACTGTACATTATTGTTTCTCTTCTGATGGATGCGTCTCCTATTCCTTCCACTATAGAAAAGTGAAGCCAAAGCATCTCAGAATGGCCGCTGCCATCTTGAGTAAATTACATAATTTGGAGCCAGAGTCTGCGCAGTAGAGATTCGTTTGGAGCCAGAGTCTGCACAGTAGTGTCGTGAGGTGGAGCCGCGGTATCAAACTCCCACCCAAACTCCCGCAGACCCAATCAACCATAACGAGACGCCCCGTTTTTATAGCATCAAATTACTAGCTAAAATCGAACTTATCATAAAAACTAACAATTGAACATATATCAACTTGATAACAACTACCTTAAATGACGAAAACCATCTTTCGGAAAATTGTATTGGAAGCGTAATTAAATTTTTTTTATTTTAACTCAAGTCCCATTCGTTTACATGGAGAGGGCGGAGTTTATGACCTGTACTGCAGCCAGCCACCAGGGGGCGATCAAAGAGCCCGCAGCTTCACTTTTCAGGACGTGTGAGGCACACCCGTTCTATGCCCCACCTTTCTGAAACATGGCGATTTTTACAAAGC